ATGGAAACTTCCAGCAAAGATAGATGCATGCCTGGTTGAACCAGAAATTCACAGTGTTAGATGTTGGTACAGGCCTCTAAGACTTGCCCAGAGAGGCTTAAGAAATTATTACAACACAAAGCAAAGATATAAAGTGCTTTTGTACTGTGTTATATATGCGATCATAGCGATCCCCCAACCCTAGAGACACAAGTTTAGCACTACCTCCCTGAAAACAACAGAAAGAGCTTCATCAACCTGAAACCCTTGGCACAGGCTCTTCTGCAGATTATTCTCACAGTATCTGAGCAGCGGTAGTAGCAGAACCCCTGCATTGTAACTATTACAAACTTCCTGAAAAATCCCTGGGAGGGGGACACAAAACCCAAGGCTGGATATAGAGCTGGAGTTGTTTTTTCATCTGAGAACTGGGGTCTGGGAACTCAGTTCCTAGGCAAGCTGGAATTTCTCCAGTTCAACCTAAGGGAATCATGACACTTGCAGCATAGCATCTTTGGTCCTTGCAGCAGCGTGGGACAAGGAACGGATCAGATGTGGTAAGGACAGTGGCATAGGAACAGGGCTGAGCATCAGGCTCTGGAACACCCAGATGTGATAAATCACAGAGGTAGTTCAACAGCCCAGCACTTTTAGACTGCTCTATGATCTGATTTTTCATTTCTAGTTCTGAAATTTTGGATTTTTCCCCCACCAGCATCTTTCCAAAACAACTCTTTTCTGTTTATCTGCTGGGCCTTGGAGACAAACACAGAGCTGCTTTGCTTCCTAACTTAAGCGCTGCCCAGCTAAACCTGCTGGCTGGTGGCAACAGCCTGGACAATCAAGAAGTAGGGGTCAAATTCCTTCCCCTGCCACTGGACCTCAAGATGACATCGACCCACAGAGCCAAAGCCTCTCCAAAGAAGGTTAACGATGTGTCCTTTACAAGATGGTTTCAAACCTATTAGTGAAAAACAATGCATTATTCATTAGCTGTTGAGCAGAAGCTCAACACTTCGTACGAATTTACCTTCTGCCTTAATTCAGGTCGAAGATGCACAAAGAGTACGGGAAATCAATCTTCTGCGCAACTTTTCAAAGTATTTGCCGCAGTAAAGCTTCTGCATTGGCCAGCAGCAACAGCACACTAACCGCGTACTTCACCGCCTGCGCTGCGCTGCGCTGCGCTACCCC